GGACATTATATATGGCACTACGGTGTAATTCTACGGGGCACTCCTGTGCAATTCTACGTGGCACTTAGTTGCAATTATATGAGCTGTGGTGACAGCATAGTGCACAACCTCACAATAATCACATACCTTAGGTTCTCTGTATGGTACCATGGGCTAATGAACTTACTAAGGCGAATTTATGAATGTGAATTTGATAAGTATATGTGTAAGAAACATGGTTTTGGGTTATTGCATTGTTTACATACATCTTATTACTGCAACCCCTCTTATTTTGGCAATTACTTTATATTTATTGATATTATTATTATTATATTATTGCCTCACTAAGTCGATGACTTAGCGTGTGAGTGTTTCAAACGTAGGATCAGATAAAGTAGACGATCGAGCTTAAGCAGCTGGACAACATTACTCCTGCAACTATCAGATCAGAAGCAACTTAATCAGTAGGTCATTTTGTTATGAAAATGGATGTTGGCATGTAATTAAAGAGTTAAGTTGTGTATGCTCTGATATTTTGGTAACTTATATTACCATATGTATTATTGTATTTTTCGTAATATAAGTTCAAGTATTTTACTATTATTTGTAATGAGTTGTGTTTTAAAAGTCAATGTAATATCTCTGACTCGTATCCGGGTTGGGATACGGGTTGGGGGTGTTACAGGGTCGTCTCGCTTGAGACAAGTTGTTCTTAAAAATAAATTTTGTCTCGCTTGAGACAATTTTCTCTAAAAATTAATTTTGTCTCTCTTGACACAGTTTCTTTTAAAACAAAGTTTTGTCTCTCTTGAGATAATTTCTCTTGAAACATAAAAAAATCTTTGAGTTTGTTTCCCTTGAAACAAAATTTAGTCTCTCTTGAGACAGTTTATCTTGAAACAAAGATCTTTGAGTTTGTTTCTCTTGAAATAAAATTTTGTCTCTCTTGAGACAGTTTCTCTTGAAACATCATCTTTGAGATCTTTTCCCTTCAAAAGAATTTTGTCTCTCTTGAGATAGTTTCTCTTGAAACATCATATTTGAGATCGTTTCCCTTGAAACGAATTTTGTCTCTTTTGAGACAGTTTCTCTTGAAACAAATCCCTAAATATGACCAGTTATCCTCATCGCATAGAAACAATGTCATCCACCGACTATATCTCCTCATCACGTAGGAATTGCTCAATTTTAGATAACCAATCATCCTCATCAAGTAGGAACCATCCCTCGATCATATCTTCTCATCACGTAGAAGCCATGTCACCCCTAGATAACCAATCGTCCTCATCGTGTTATCATCATCCCTAAAGATGGCCAGCCGTCCTCATCGTGTAAGAACCGTGTCATCCACCGACCAGATCTCCTCATCACGTAGGAGCCACGTAAATCTTAGATAACCAGTTGTCCTCATCACGTAGGAACCGTGTTATCATCCCTAAAGATGGTCAGTCATCCTCATCACGTAGAAACCGTGTCATCCTCCGACCAGATCTCCTCATCACGTAGGAGTCGTGTCATACCTAGATAACCAGTCATCCTCATCGCTTAGGAACCGTATTATAATCATCCCTAAAGATGACCAACCGTTCTCATCGCGTAGGAACCGTGTCATCCACCGACTATATCTCCTCATCATGTAGGAGCCGTATCACCCTTAGACGACCGGAACTCTTCATCACGTATGAGAAGTGTCGTTCTCAACCAAACAAAATTTGTTCTCTTTTTCGTCTTTGCCCTATTCTTGTTAACACAAGAATGTGCAAAGAGGGATAACTGTAGACACTTGTTTTCTTCCGGGTCTTAAAAAATTATTATTATTAATTTTAATTACACATTTTACAAGCCCGATTGAAGCCCAGGTTACAAAGACCCAATACAGCAACCGAGATACAAGCTGACCTGAACCGACCCAAAGAGAAGATCTGACTCGAACCGGCCCAACAATCGACCTAGACCCGCTAGGGTTTCCCTTCTTTGCCCCAGCGCCGCCTCACTCATGGTCCTTGGATATGGACTCATTCAATAGTCTAGATCACTTTAGGGATTAGGGTTTAAAACCCTAAATAATAACAGTCATCTTCGCATGATCGTTTGACTCCCAACCTGCGCTTGTACCTCACCGCCCTACTCCCCAACCGCGTGAGTCACCGTTGAGCACTCCCGAGTCGCCGCCGAATATCCCATCACCTGATGTTGTCATCCATAGTGATTGATTTCTGCACCAAATCATATCAACAGTCAGAAGAAAAATAAAATAAAGAAAGCAAGTCCAAGAAATCCCAAGGCAAATCTAGTTATGGCACAAGCTTATCTCCTCGGTAGCATTATCATCAGACACCTATCCATCACAAAATCATACATGCTATCAGAGATAAAAAAGAAGAGAGAAAGCTAGAGAAAGGGGATTCTTTCGGGGGAGAAAAAACATAGAGAGATAAGAAGAATCGGGGAGAAAACAAAAAAGAGAAAAACAGAAGAGAAAAGAAAAAACATGAGAGAGAAAGGGAAGGGAGATTCGAACTAGAGAAAAAAAGAGAAAAATAAGAACAACTAAGAAAAAAAAACAAGATGAGAAGCCCTTACCTTTGATCGGAGGAACGGAGGGAAGCTTTAAGGTCACCATTTCCTTGTTGTTTCAAAAGGTAAACCTTTAGATCTAGGGAGCTAGGGTTATTTTTAGGCTGAACAGGGTTAGGTTTCGAGTTGAGGGAGGTGAGATGATCATTCTGGGGTGGTTATCTCTCTCTGACCGTCGTGGGCTGCCGTGAGCGCCATCGACGACATCGATTTCTCTCTTCCCCTATGAGAGAGTTATGAAACTCTCTCTCTCTATTTTCTGAAGCAAGAAGAAATGAGAAAGGATTGGGAATAAAAGCCTAAGATCATGCTTATATATCATCTGCAAAACAACGCCGTTTTGCCCAGGGGTTCAATGTGTTTTAGGTTATGTGTTAATGTCATCTTTAGTCCCTACCTTTTTTAATCTCACCCGTATTTGTCATTTTTTCAGGGTAAATCACAGTTTAGACCCTCTTTTTTTGTAATTTCATTTTTCAGTTAGTTAATGGATTTTTACCTTATTTTATTTTGAGCACTTATGTTTCAGTATCTATGATTTAGTTCTGTTATTATATGTTATATTATTCTTGTTAATTTTTGACTTTGGTAATGATATTTGTAAATCTTTTATTTTAATCACTGCTTTACATTTGGTTTAATTATTATTTGGCCTGTTATGTTTCTAGTGTATTTCATTTTAGTCCGTAAACATTATTTATTGGTTATTTTAGTTTCTAGTACCTATATTTGTTCAAAATGACTATTGTGGATCCGGTTTAGTTATATTTACTGTTCAATCCTTCAAGCTTCTGTTAATTCTATTTTAGTCATGTAAATACTTATTTTTGGTGATTTCATTTGGATTTGTAATGTTCATTTTTTTTATTTTAGTCCGTCATGTATGAATATATTTTACATATTATGTAGTTATATGTATTATATTAAATAAATGTTCCTAGCTCCATTTACTGTAAATATTTTATTTCGTATATTTCCAATTACATTTATTTCCATTGTATTTTTTATCTATTGATGAGATACTCGAATTTTTTCAAGAACATGTATGCTTAGAATGAGCGTGGAAAGCATCACTTGGTCGAAGTGGTGCGATCCGATACGGCATTTTAACGACATGGGAACTTGAAATAAATTGAGTTTATTTTACTCATTAATGTGTTTTAATTCAAATCATGCAACACATGTTCCTAAATGGCAATTTATGTTATTTTACGCAAATATTAATTTTCAGTTTGTATATTCGTCACACATTTTTATCAGGGAGTGAATATTCTTTACAGATAATAAATACGTAAGATAGCTTTCTCGACGGAGGATTGCTAATCTCGAGATTTCTTTTCAAGTTAAAAATATTTCCCTAATAAATAATTCAAAGGTCGATGGCGACTCCCTTTCCATTTAATTCAAATCAATTCAAAATCGTCAATTTTTGAAATAAAAAGTCATAATTATTTTTTTAATTAATTAATTGTTTTAAAAAATAGTTATGACAATAGCTATGGTATTTTTACCTACGCTCCAGACAATTTGGCCATGAATTTAATAAGATCGTAGTGTGCTAGTAATTAACCCCCACGAGATACTTGCATCCGAAAACAGTAACTTTAAATTCCAAATTTAATAAGATTGTATGTATTGACAACACCAACGTAACATTTCATTGAATTTTCTAACCTTGCTGTAAAAGAAACAGTCATTTCACTTACCCTTTTCTACTGCTTCACTTGCACATATTTAACTCGTCTAACCTTGAATTCAACTTACTTCACTATTATGTCATTAACATATAAGGATTAAGATGATTATAGATAAGATCTAGTTAAATTCTTTTTGTTAATCTATATATGATTTGAGTGTTATATTTTTTCTTTCGTCACTTAAATCTAAATTGAGTTTAGAAATGTCTTACCCTACTCGAAATTTAACCTGATTTTTAAGAAAAAAATTTGTATTCACATTTGATTTGACCCAACACACTTTTAGTTTTCAAGTAAAATAAAAATCTTACTGAAAAATATAGATAGAGATGTTGTTACAATTATCTTTAAATATATGAGAGATAATTATACTATAATATTTGAGTCAAAGATTTTCATCATAAATCTGATTTGAACTAAAAATTAATTTCATTCAACTTGAACTCATTTTTTTAATAAAAGGAATTGATTATAATATTTAAATCTGGATTAATTGATGTCTATATTCATTAATCCTACTTTGCATTGAAGTAACGCAACATAGCACGTTTTTTCTCGAAAAAAAATCAACAAAGTTTTGAAATTTGGAAAGATAGTGGAAAGCAAATAATTTTGTTATAGATAAGTTTGAAACATGAATGGATTAAAAATTATAATCTCAATTAGGAACATATATATAAGATTTTATGTTAAAGGATAAACTTTTAATATTTCAGAAAATAATAAATTTATAAAATTCTAAGAGTACAAATAAAAATTACTAAAATATATGATAATTTAAAACTTTTATAAAGACGACCGACTATTATCATCCTCGTATCAAAGTGTTGTTAAAGTCAAGTATTGGTGTTGGTGTGGAGAGCCAAGAGGGTGGAGAGATTCATGGGAGACATGTAATTGGTGGAACCACGCAAGATCATGTCCACGATAATGCCATTAGCCCTTTCGGAAGGATGGAATGGATCCCAAAACACGTACTCGTCTCGGTTGGGACATAAATTTGATATTATAGTACATAACCCCAAACCGTTATAAGGTCCTTGTCCACAACACGCTATCTTCGATGTTGTAAATCCTACAGACATCACGTTTAAAATATCTGTTACGTTTAATCATATATGTAATGATGGTACGTGGGGGTAGGTTGCCATTAATAAGAATTGGGTAAAATATTTAATGAAGTCAACAACAAGTCACACTGCCTTTTATTGTTCATCTTCCCATTTCATCATTTCTACCCAATCTCTTATCCAATCAATGACCCATTTATTACTCTTAAATATTTATGTCCCTTTTTCGTGCGACTGCCTAAATGTACTAATTTTTCTATAAACATTATTATTTATATCATTAAACTCAATCAAAATATTGAATTATGGATTTGTGTACTAACCATAGGCTCCAGGGTTGCTAATGAAATCATTGGTTTGTTGCTGAGTATTAGCAGAAATGAAGATATTTGCACCATAGTCGCTGTTGAGTCCATTTATCATCTCTACCAGTTGTGGGTTAAACAAGGAAGCCGCTTGCTGCAGCTCAGCGGCGCATTGACCATTCGGGCTCCTCATCGCTAACTCCGCCGGAACACACCCCAATGGTCCGGTCCCGGTTACTAGAACCCTTTGAGCTCCTAGATCATGTAATCTCTGCATTTGCAGTATAATCTCAAGTACTCTTTCTAAGTTGATATTTATTTCATTTTTTTTAACCTTCCACGTCTGATCTATCAACAGTTAAATTAGAACAGATATAACAGAAACTCGTTATGAGGTGAGATCCTCTTGACTAGATCAAATGATTTTTGAATATTTGATTTTTAACTATCTATTATCGTCCCTAGACGGAAACTTAAAACAAAGGAAAAGAAATTTACCATAAGAATTTTTCTGTACTCGGAGATGAGATATCTAACGTAATCCGGTAGCTGGAATTGTCGGGATCTTGCAGAGAAGGGAACCAAGAAATAGTTGTTGACGAAATCATTACCGCCGACAGTGATGAGAACAAGAGCATCGCTTACAATCCGCTGTGCCTCGTCGATTCCGACAAGGTCAGCCAACCGTCTCTGATACTCTTCGAAGTATTGTAATTGCCGGAACATTCTTATAATGTTGATCTGCCAATGTATCATTTCAAAAAAGTAGGCTAAACGGGGATCCGACAGTGTCACATTACCATGGAAACTATGAACGTTAAGGGAAGTTTCACTTCAAAATTTGAGCTCGGATTTTATGTAACGAAAAAAAAATTAACATTCGAATATCGATGTTTATAATTCGAGGTTTCAGTTTAGAGGACTTACAAATTGAATGCCGGTGTCATTGAGGATTCCAATGCCAGCTGAAGCAAAGTTGGCACCCACAAGCAGTTTTTCTCCGGTGAGTTGAGGACTCAAGTATGGCAATGTTGGCTCCGAACCAAGTGCATTACCTATGATATAAACATCGTCAATTCAATTAGCATGATGGAGCATTAACGTAAAAAACAGAATAGACATGGAAAAGAGTTAAAGAAAGAAAGAGCAACTGATGAAGTCAGGGATGTTTTTTCCGTTGGAGAAGCGGCCGGTGGGACGACGGCTAGGAGTGTCGATGCCGTAGGGAGGCGAATCGGCTCGAGCAGTGGTTGCTAAGTAATTGTTGTTGCCATTATCGACAAGAGAATCGCCAAATACGAAAAAGGCCCTGTGGGCAGCTTCAACTCGAGTCATGGTTGAAGTTAACATAAGAAGACCAAAAGCCACCAATGAAACCAGAACCACTGAGTTCGCCATGGAAGTTGAAGGAGATTTAATGCTCTATAACTTTTCTTTTTTAGAGACTGGTTTGGAATGTAAATCAAAGAATAGGCACTGCTTATATATAGGAAACTTCAATTGCAATGCCAAAGGACAAACAATAATTGCTATGCAAATACAAAAGCATTGCTGTACTTCAACTTGTTTATGGTTCGTGTCGGGACAAATTCGGCCTCATCATCATTTTATTTTCTTATGATTTATTTTATGTTTAGATTTTTTTATTAGTATGATATAAATACAAAGTAATATTTGTTTAAAATTAATTCTCAATTATTTAACATTAAACGTTTATTAATATTTATGGTGCTCAAATTTAATATCTCAAAAAATAACAATAATTCTTTCACCATCAGATATACTTGAAATTTTGAAATAGAAAACATTAATTTAATGTCACTTTCAGGAATGGACAAAAAAAATGCATTAATATATTTATATTAGAAAATTTAGTACTCCTGAGAAAAAAGAAAAAAAAATAATAGACTTTTATATAAGGATATTAATGGACTTGGAAGTGTATAGAAAACGTCGTGCTTACCACTTAATTTAACCTCATATAATTCTTTGTTGGTAGAATGATTTAAGTTAAAATCATTTTTTTAACATTAATTTGAGTGATACTAGATGTGTCTCGTTATCAATTAATCATATGTGAAAATATCACATTAACAATATGTATTGATCTTTAGTCAACTAATGAATTTTCATTCAATACATATTATTTTGATAAACAATTAAAATACTATAAAATAAAATACTAAAAAATATAGAACAAAGAAATAATAGATATATAAACATTGAAGATTAATTGTATGCTAAAATGGGTAGAAAATAATATTTTATATAGAAATTTGTATTTTAAAAAATGGATATTGGCAGAAAAAATTATATTAACAAAGATATTAATGTTTTATATATAAAAAAGATATTAATAACTCATTAATTTATTACTAATTATTAAACGTGTATAGAAATAAGTAACTTCTTTCACCTAAATTAATTATTACTGTCAACCTGCTTGCCGGGCTCTTAAATCCTATGAATTGCCCCCCCCCCCAATCATCTCTGTTCTTCAACTGAACTATTATGATTCCTCTACATTTTAATCAGTTTTCTTTTTCAGTGTGAAACGTTCATATTTAGCAATAATCTACAATATATATTAGTAAAACGTTGACTCTACTAAAATAAATGAATAAATCAAAGTTGTGATTTAATATATACTAAGAGTTGCATCAAAAATATATATTAAGAGTTAATTTACTCCAATTTAATTAAGAAACTACTAAAATATTTATATATTCGTCACGACTATGGATGGGACACTTAGACGCCGTGACTTGTTTGTTTTTGGCTTGAAAGGTTGAGGGAATACAGGCTAGTTAAGTTGCGCATCTTTGTTTTTTAATATTCATTTAGATCATGAGTTTTAAATCTACTAAGAATACTTCTCTTTTTTCTCATAGTTTTCTTTCACCTTCCTTCCAAGTAAAATTAGAAATAGTAGCATTTGACAAAAAAGGAAAGATGTTAACTGAATTAAACGACTCGTGAGCTGTTCGAGTTCAAGTCAATTAAAACTTAATTGATATTTGATTTGAGTTGATCAATTCAAATTCGAATTTAATATCTTAATGAACTAAATTATGCAAGACCTACCTTGACTTAATAAATTTACAAACACTATTATTATATATATATATATATATATATGGATGTTGATTACCTTAATTTTAAATTTATTATATATTGGTAAACTTTTTTTCAAGCACCTCCACCTCAAGTATGCGTCTAATGTCATCAAATTCCTTTTCATATTGTTCAAAACAGGATTCCTTTAGCTTATGTCCTTTCCTATTCTAAAAGAATAATCAATAAAATCAAAAGAAAATAATTTTTTAAATTCTAATTTGACATTTTTCTGCAACGATACACACATCAACCATTGTAATTGTATGTTACATAAAATACAAATTAAACAGAAAATAAAGCTATTAGCGAATGTTACCGAGATTCTTCGTTTTCCTTGGAGCATTCATGTGCTCCATACATATTCCAACGTGAGCGATCCATCCATCTTCATTTTCTGTATCCGACACCCGTCTCTGACTGAGCCTGATAATATATTCGATAACTTACAAAAGCTTGGTATCAACACAGGAAACATGCACTTCTTGAGGGTGTGGAGTCCCGGTGTTCAAGACCTTTCGAGAACGAGCGGATCGCAAGATGCTCCGATGCATATGCCATGAAAGAAGCTAAAATAAGCCCTCCAACCACCATTAGACCCAATCTGGTGTGAAAATGGCATGGACGATGAAATTTAGAGTAATTCAAGAATGTTAAAATAAGGATTTTCAAGCATTAGATATAAGGTTTTAGCTCCTAAAAGCCTCCATGATCGTCTCTGTCAGTCCGACTCTATGTTACTCGTATTTAGGTGAAAATGCAAATAGGGTATATTTAATCTCTTTATGTTTTTCTTAATGTACTTGAAGGGTCTTTTGGAGGGTCATATATCCTTACCTACATCCAAATATGTGTTAAACACGGTATACGTACTTAAATAAATACGAAGGTTCAAAGCAATATAGCTGACTCTTCATTTTTCTTGCGACACCCATGTTCATGGATATAGAGATATGACCGAAGATCCTCTCAAGTCGAGAAAAACATGGAAATAAATATGATACAAGTATTGGACATATATCCGTACCCGACACTTGCACTTGGGTCATGAGCAACATAGATGATGACAAGAACGTATGAAGAGATAACGTCAGCATTTATCATCTTCCTTCTTTAGTTTCTTCCTAAAGTCTAAAAGCGTTGAAAATGTATTCGTTCATAATGGCAGGAGAAAACAATAATATATCAATTGGAATTACCTCAAGAAAAGAGCAGTGATCCCAAAAATACATGGTAAGGATGGGGCAGCTATAGCCAAAAACGCCATCCCGAGCCCGTAGTACCAAGTTGTAACATCACAAGAGGATGCATGCCGCTGATGACCTGAAAAATATACAAGATTTATCAACCGTTATCACATTAAAGATAGAAAGGAACGAACATCATCTTTTCTCTTGATCATGCACAATAGTTTTTGTATGTGATCTAGATAACCTTTTTGAGTATCCGAATCAAAAGAATCCGTATAAGAGGAAACTGATCCTGATGGAGTTGCCGTTCTCCTTCCCCATTGATAAATCAAATGAAGAAAAGCTCCGAACAAAAGAAAGAAGGTAGTAAATGTCCACTCATACATCAAAAGCAAACCAGTCCACGGCATCACTTGTCGAGGCACAATTGCTATACCAAATCCAAGGGACACCACAGCAGCCATAAAAGAAACGAGAATTGAAATCCCACCAAGGTAGTGCGGCACCTTGGTCTCTCCGCTGTTAGAAAACTGTATTACACCAAAATCAAATAATAGAAGTGAGTCAACTAATAAATTCATATCGAAGATCAGTAGACAAATAGGGTAACAGAATTTAATCAAACCCTATTACACAAAAATCAAATAATAGAAGCGAGTCAACTAATAAATTCACATCGAAGTTCAGTAGACAAAGAGGGTAACAGGATTTAATCAAACCCGAATCAATGCAGCTTAGAATATGAAGAAAGGAACTAACCTGATTGTTTGCATTAATGGTGGAAGACGAAGAAACACTTGTGTAAGCAGTTATTCTGCTTGACCTAATTATGTAGTAAAGGTGTCTGATCTGATTGCCCAATAAAGTTCTGCAAATTGAAACCCTTATCTGCACCGGAAAGTAATATGGTTTGGGAATGGGTGTATGGGACAGCAACCACGTAAGAATTGAATTCAGAAAAAGCAACATCAACAGTCACTAACCTGAAGGAAAGAACGATAGTACCAAAAAAGTAGAGCACATAAAGGTAAAACAAAGAGGAGTTTGATCAGAAGCTCGTCATTCGGATTTTTGCCTCCACCAGTTCCAGGAAGTGATTCTTCAAGCTGTTCCCTAACATTCTGCGACATTGGCAAACAAGTTATTTGACATTTATCACAATTTGCAAAAAGGATTGGGAATACACGGGAGCTTTTCTTATAAATTGTGAAGAAGTCCGATAATACCTGCCAGACATCAACTGGTTTTAAGAGCCAAGATGTCCACCAATCCCAAGGTTTAAGAGGACCAAGAGTATAGTGAATAACACGAAGTTCACTCTCATCTACCATCCACTGCAAAATAATGCATACAGTGATAAGGAAACTTAACCAGAAAATAAAAATTATACTACGTAACAGCAGAACTTTGTTTCCTTTTTCAGAATAGTATAAGTTTCATCATGGTATAGCCCCCTGACAACCAAAGGAAAGAATTGAAACAAATCCCTTCATGATCCAAAAGCAAGAGAAAGTATTCAAAAGTTTGTCATCATAATGCATAATTAAAATGGGGATTCAAATACAAGATCTAATGATTCCAATCCCCTTGTGATCTAAAAACAAGAAAAGCCTACAACAATTGGTCATCATAATGGATAAACTGAGGATTCAAATACATGAAAAGCAACTTAAAATCAATCATATTCTATAGTTAGCATATTGTGAATCTCAACTGCTTGACTATAAGGCAAAGATTGACTGAAAGGGAGTAGCAACCTGCTAGATCTCTTCCTAATGGTTGAAAATCTGTTTTCTTCTCTTCCAACCTTTTTAAAGTAAGATTTATTCTAATATTTTTACTAACGAAACTAAACTGTATCTCTTGTTAATTTTAGTAATAGAACATGTAACATGTGAAACAAGACTAACAACAAAATAGAAGCATGGCATAAAGTTTAAAACATAATATTAGCGTGGATATATGTCGTGGTACCTTGTTGGCAAGCATGTAAAGACCAACATCTGCATTATATAGAGTGGAGAGACGCTCCATCTTAGGAGTGGGTCGGGATTTCAACACATCCAGAGGCATATTAGGATCAAAAACATGTGCATTTGGAAAATCAGGGTAGTAAGAATTCAGAAACCCTTGATCTCCTCCAGTATAAGAAGGCAAACTTTTAACTTTGGCTATCATGTCATTGAAAATAGCTTTAGATGGTTCCACTACCATGACTCCTGAATTCAGCCTCTCAGAATGCTTCAAATTGGCACAGAATTTCTCACATTGAAACAAATCTTCAATGCTTTTGACTACTATAGTATCCGCATCAAGATACACAACTACACAAGAAAATTCCAAGTGTGAAAAAATGCAATCAACAAGAAGAACCATTGCAATGGAAGGCATAATTGACCAAAAACCTAGATTAGCTAGAGGTGTAATAAAATTAAATATTCAAAATCTTGGTTCTAACCAGACAATAATGCAAGGATAATATTCTCATGTAAGTTACATAAAACATATTTTCAAGTTCTAGATTTTACTATGTGAAACAAAACAATTCAACCCAGGATATGAGCAATTTAGTTTGCAATGTATATGTTAGTAAATTCCAACCCTCCACCTCAATAAGGAGAAAGTTTTTGTGTTCAGTTTCAATGACTTTATAGTTTTAAACTTGCTCATTATAAGAGATGCTCAGAAGCCATAATAGCCATTCATAAACAATTGTGTAACATGAGCTCAGGAGCTTCATCACTGTGTCAGGTATGTATCCAACTCATGTAAGCTAAACATTTTTTCCTAAGTTCCATATTTTGTAAGGATTTTACTCGCAACCATCCATAACCATATTTGAATATGGGTTGGACACATACCTTAAGGAGACGAGTTCCGGTAACATAGACTTACCATCTGTAAAGCTTATGCACAGATAGTGGGCCAAGTATAAGGTAAACCCAACCATATTCATCCCTAATCCTACCTATACATGTTCTCTAATCAATAGAAAAATGAAGAATAAAGAAACCAAAAAAGGAATTTTTTTTTTACCTTTCTTGTAGTTAGTCATATTAAAAATTTTCAATTTGGTGTAGACACCCCAAAACCTCGTTGGCCGAACTTGATTTGGATTCTCCAATAAACTTATCCTCTCCACTATCCACCCATCAGCCTGCCCAATTATCCACCAAGGAAAAACAAAAAGATGAAACAAAGTATCAAAAATTACTAACAAACTAACAGAGCATCAATTATATAGCCTACAAGTTCCCAGAAATAGAAATGAAAAAGAAGTGATTTTAGCTAACAGAGCATTGATTATATAGCTAACAAGCTTACATAAACAGAAATGAAAAAGAAGTGATTTTATTTCTTCTTTCAGAAAAACGTGAAGTAGCTAGCTTTGAGGTAGTAGTTTTTCTTAGGAAACAAACAGAAAAGGAAACAAGTGGCCAAATTTTTACCTTGAGAAGTCTCTTGGAATAATCAGAGACGCCATCAGAGACCAAAACAACCATGTCTTTAGATGACCCAGTGTTCTTTATAGATTTCCCCAAAACCCTAACCCCCAATAGAAACTCATCTCCGTAAAGTAGTGTCACATAAGCTTCATCCTTTGAAGTTTGAGCTTTAACCCCCAACCACGCCTTAGATTGGATCGTAATCAGAAGGAACAGAAACAGGACCCAGGTTTTTAGGAGTTTCATATTATTCAAATGTTTTTCTTCTGAAAATGATCCGTAGATTCTCGAGGAAACAAAATTTATTCTTTTGTGTTGAATTAAGTTTGAATTTAAACCTTTGATGAGCGTGAAGAAATTGACCAAGGAAGAAGAAGGTTCCCTTCGATAATTTTGCTCTTGATTACGGTATCGTTTCGTAGTGGACTGTTCTTTGTTGGTATCGTTTCAGTTGCCAATTTTGAATAAAGATTTGGTATGTTGATTTTCGTTATTATTTTTAACTAATAATAGTCCGTAAGTTTATTTAATAAATAAAAATAAAATAATTTTATAGAAGGAATTTTAAAAAATATATATTGATTATATTAACCGATACATTTTTTAAAATTAAAAAATTACAAAGTAAAATATGACTATACATAAAATAAATTCAATCAGACATGTTAAATAAGAGATTTAAATATATAATTTTTTATTAGTCTGTGTATATACAAAATGGTAATTATTTAAATTTAAATTTAATTATATCTATTTATTTTTTATTCAAAAAAATATAATTATTTGTATTTATAATATGTATTTGTAAAATGATGTTATGTTAATAATTGTGATAGTAATTTACGAAAAACTAAAAAAATTAAAATTTATCAATTACTAGTTGATCTAGAGGAATGAAACACTAGATCTCTTCAGTAAGGGATGTTAAGGATTTGAATCCTAGAAGTTGTGAATTGAGTAAATTAGATTGAGAGGATCGTCCTTGTCTCTGTAGTATCTGATCTAGATTAGTCGATCAATAGATCGTATATTGATGGTTATACAAATTTTTTTATAAAATTTTATGTTTGTATATATTCATTAATGTGGTTTGTTTAATTGCAAAAAAATTGGCACAAATTACATTCTTTACATATCTACGCGGGTGCATATATACACAAATGAGCCACCTTAATCTCCAATTAATATGTATTATGATACATGTACTTGGATAAATTATTTTCTGAACCATCACGTAAGATATAGATCCAATCAATTATATTAATATATGTCAGTAATTTTTTTCTTAATCATCAATAAATTTAAGCTTAATTTTTAATTATTTATTTTTATATTAAAATTATATTTTTATCTGTTCTTCATCCTCTTAACTTTTTCTCACAATCATTTTTCGCTACAAAGGTCTTCCCCGAGTATGAATGCTTTTGTGATTTATATGTAAGAATCGACTGATGACGAATGAGGAATGAGTTTGCTGCCACCTGACTGACTCTCCAAGATGTCATGTTTGCGGATCGACTACAAAATCAATTTCCCATATTTTCCGTGATTGCGTGATTGCTAGATCTGCTTGGTATAAGATCACTAAACCGGAATGGCTTGTTGAATTTTTGCAAATGAATATATTAGATTGGATTCATTGATGAGTGATCTAAATCGATATTATTTTCTTGTTAAATCTTTGATCTTATGAATTTATTTATGTTGATTTGGTTGTCTTATGCTTATTTTCGTGCTGGAGCTTACTTTTCAGAATTAGCAGTAAAACGGGTGCATTCTGCATTTTTTTTATTATTTAGTCACAGCTGGAGACATGAGCACGACTCTGGGTATGATACAATCTGACGTGACAGTTTCTAGAAGGTCCAGACAGCAGCAGTTTTCTAGAAGATCTAGTCAGCGCCTTCTAGAAGGTGGACGGACAGAGATATCTTAGGAGACTTACTTTTAAATTTTAAAGTTTGAATTTAGAAAACATTTGAAATTATCTTTAGGATTATTTTAATTTTAATTTCTATGTTTATCTCTAGGTTTTTAGAGGTTATAAATACCCTCTTGGGGTAAGCCTACACACAACTCAGATTTCAATCTTCTTCTTACTTCTAGTTTTATAAAGTTCTTTCTTTTCTTCTCTTTTCAAGTTTTCATTTTCATTTTAAGTTTTATTTTTTAAAATGCTAAGTATGATTTCTATCATACTTAGCTAAGTTTTCCATAACCAAAGGCTAAAGCGATGACTCGATTATGAATCGTGAGAATCGAAAAACACCTCATACCCTCTCGGGTTAAATTCTAAATTTTTTGGAAACTAGATTGGCGGATATTCTTTCTTAAAATCAAAACGCTTTCACTTCAAAAATAGATTTTGGCTTGGATGATGTTATGGTTTACCTTTGGGATTATAAAATCAATTGATTCGAATTCCCTTGAACACACTTAACGAATGGTACGCTAAGAGAAATTGGGATCAAGTTCGACTTTCATAGAGAAAGCATAATTCGAGTCGCTTTTAAACTATTTTGAGTTAACAACGATAGTCGAAGTTAACTCGAACAAGGATTGTGATTCCTAAAATAGATTTGGGAAAGTCAATCACCAAAGAGGAAAATGAGCTACAATGATTGAACCTTGCGGACTCAAACCGACATTTAACTGGAGGAAAAATCATATTCAATGATCTATTGGAATTTGAGGCAGGCGAAAGCCCGAGGCTAATTTTATCGTATTGGTTTTTAATTTTACTTTCTTCGATTCTTTATATTCCTTTGAATCACTTTTGCTTTCTCAACAAACCATTTTTTTAATTTACTTGCATTTTTTACCTAGATCAAAGATCAAGAACAATCGTTTCAGTATTTTCCTTAGTCCTTGTGGATCGACCCTTACTCTCTCTATACTATTATATTTATTTTTAATGAGATTAAGGATAAATTTATTTGACAATGAAAATGACGTGTTGTCAAACTGGCGCCGTTTCCGGGGACTTCGGCAAAAGTTAATGATTTAGTTTGTTTTTTATTTATGACCAGGTAAAATCCCGAAGAGCTAGTAGATTTTGAACCTCATATCGAAGCGCTATCCCAGAGGCTATGTGAACTAACAATTCAGGAAAAGAGGAAACAACAAGAAGTACAACGCCAAGAACAATCAAATCCAGATCCTGAAGCATCATCTAACGCCAATACCTGCGAAGAAGCAATACCCGATGCCACTACAAATGTCGAATCACATTTCACACCAACTTCACCTGAACCGATGGACAATTGCACGATCCGAGAATTAGCCGCAACTCTCACGGTCTAACAACCCCTTTGCATCACATTTTCTCAAGGAGAAACTCTGTTTCAACTTAAGACTGGGCTTATTCATCTTCTTCCTACCTTCAACATTCTTCCAAGTGAAAGTCCGCATAAACATTTGGCAGAATTCCAGTTAGTCTGTTCAAGCATGAAACCACAAGGATTTTCTGACGACCAAATTAAATTGAGAGTTTTTTCATTTTCTTTATTTGGTTTAGTTAAAGAGTGGTTATTCTACTTACCTCTAAATTCAATAAATACATGGGCTGATTTAAATCGAATTTTTCTTGACAGATTTTTCCCAACAGCGAAGGCAAACGAGTTGAGGAGACGCATTTTGGGAATTAAACAAAAAGACGGAGAGTCATTTTATGATTATTGGGAAAGATTTAAGAAACTTTGCGCAAATTGTCCGCAACACAGATTAATTGAGCAAACATCCCTTCAATATTTCTATGAAGGGCTTTCTCCCTTAGAGATGAAAATGGTTGATGCTGCCAGTGGAATAGCTCTAGTCAACATAATGCCAAACGCAACAAGAGAGTTAATTTCGACGATGGTGGCGAATTCACAACAATTTTCAAGTGAACCAGCCGACGAGTTCTCTAGATAAGTTCTAAACTTGAAAATAAAATTGACAAATTAACTGACGTGGTTAATTTTCTTATTGTTGAAAAAATTAGAGTAGTGAGGCTATGCGAAATATGCACGATGCCAGATCATTTGACGGACTGCTGCCCCATGCTACAAGGAGATGCTGGTACACAAGTAAATACAATGGACAATTTTCCAAGACCTCTCCAAAAGCCTTAAAACCTATACGAAAATGCTTCCAATCCAGGATGGAGATATCATCTAAACTTGAGCTATGGCCTAAATCACGGACCATGTCAAGATTATCAATCGAGGCCACCCCTACAATAACCTTCTCAGTCGTAGAAATCATCGCTTGAATCAATCGTTGAGAGGTTGGCCCTTTCCCATGAGGAAATTTCAAAATAGTACTAAAGCTCGCTTTCAAGAGCTCGAAAAGCAAATGAGCCAACTGACTCAAACCTTGGGGAGATTAGAATCACAAGGGAGGCTATCATCACAAACTAAGCTGAATCCAAGAGATAATGTTAATGCCATCACGCTTCAAAGCGGTACAATTGTTGAACAACCAGTCCCAACGAAAGTAAGCGCAAGATCCCTGAAGAAAAATTAAAAGCCAAACTCCCAGAGGGAAGAAGAAGTAGTTGACGTAGAATTCTAAGAAAAGAATAAAGATGAATCGCAAACTTCTGCGCCATCTCCCTATACCGTTCCGCCTTCCTTTCCTGAAAGATTCATAAAAATAGACAAACAATTTGAGGAGAAAGAAATCTTGGATGTATTACGGAAAGTGGAAATAAATATTCTGCTTCTTGAGGTGATCCAGAAAGTACTGAGGTATGCCAGATACATTATGTAACATCCTCAATACCAGGTTAGTGACCAAATTGTAAAGTTTCAGAAATTGGTGATTAAAGTAGCATAATTGAATAGTTCAATGATTTATTGGAAATATGATGAAGGTTATTTAGTAATTATTAAAGGAAATAAAGGGTAAAATGGTCATTTGACCAAAAAGATTTTTATCTTTCTTTTAAGGTTATAAAACACGTGAAAAGGGTGAGAAGAAAAGAAAAGTCTGGAGCTTGGGTTATCTCCTTCCACTTCTCTTCTCGTAAGCTCCATGGCAAAGGTAAGTTTAATTTCAGTTGGTTAATTCTTGAGTTTTAAGCTTAGTATTGATTCTTGGGGTGCTAAGAAAGATTATTTAGAGATTAAAGTATGTTGAAACTTCAAAATGGATAAGTTATGAAGGATTAAATATGAAGAGTTTTTAAGTGAATTAGTGAAATACAAGGAGTTAATAGATTTTGAAGTTGAATTTGACTTGTCAATGGTTAAATTAATGAATATGAAGTGTTAGAAGTGGATTTGGAACATGTTGAAAATTTAGTGTAAATCTTGAATTACATATGGAGAATAGGATTTTGATGTTAAAAAGGTGATTAATGAATAGAAATGAGTTTGAATATGAGTATGTTAGTTAAGAATAAGAAAGGGGATGATATATGAAGTAATTAAGCTGAAAAGAGTGGATTTTCTGGT